ACTGAATTTCTGATTCCCTTCTCTGTAAGACAGTAATCCTATGAAAATAGGGATGAAACGTAGTTCTCTCCAGTGTCTATAAGCCTTACATATTTCTAAGTTTGGTACAGAAATACCAATGAATAGGAACTAATTAAATAATTCTTTTCAGAATACACTATATACTTAATTCCTGATCTTTTCAATATTGCCTCTTTTGGCTTGCTTTACCTTCACAAAAGCATAAGATTTTAAAGCAAATTATGTAAGAACATTGATATGTTCTCTTACACCCACACATACATATTTAAGATTATAAAAGTCTCATTACAATGACAGCAATTAAATCCCCAAGTCCTGTGCTGTTAATTTACCCTTTCTCAGCAGATAAATTCTTCTGAAAAGGCTACCTGAGGAAATGGGCAAGTGCCAACTTTTCACAACATGTTCCAAAAAGACTTGTAAGAATATAAATATACTAGAGAAGGATAGGCAATCTCCTCCTGTGTAATTTACTGCATTTGAAAACCCACTGGGGGATCAGCTATGGGACAGTTCCTACTTGACAGTACACAAAAACAACTACACACACACATATATGCACATAGAAAGCTGAATATATATAATTATTTATATATATAGTTGTTATATATGTGTATGTGTTAGTTATATATACAGGTGTTATTTATATACACAGGTGTTATTTATTTATATATATAGTTGTTATATATATAGCTGTTGACATATACATGTTGTTGTTGTTAAGTGCTGTCGAGTTGCAGGTGACTCATAGCGACCCTATGAAGTAGAGTCCTCGACGCTTGGGTGCCTTTCATCCTCTCTCCCGGTTCATAGGGTTTCTGGAGGCAAGCTATTACGGAAGTGGATGCCACTCCTCCTTCCAAGATATATACATAGTTGTTGATATATATATATATATATATATACACACACACACAGTTGTGATATATATACATATAGTTGTGAGCCATCTATCTATCTATATCTATCTATCTATCTATCTATCTATCTATAAATTGTTATATATCTTGTAGAACACTAATACCTTGGAGAATTTCAGAAATCTTAGTCAACCCACATGCCTGACTTAGGAAAACTGTTGCTAGGATAAAATGGGCAAAAGATGCCAAATCATTGTTAAAAGAGCAAAACTGTTATCTGTGTAAATGGGATCATTTATTATTATTTCCTTTAATGGAAACAACTCCAATCGCTTCTGTCTATACGTGAGATGGAAATGATGCACAAGAATAAAATTAGGGGAAAATAGTGATTGTGTGAAGAAAAAGAGGTAAAGAAGCAGTTTCAATAAGATGAATCTTGGCTGTTACAAAGTTCTGCACAGAATAATCAACAGAGCTAGAAAACCACTTAGAAACAAAAATGCAGATGAAGGAAATTAGTGGTTGAATCACTTATTAACACATATGCCATTATATATACAAAGTTCCTTAATTTTTAACTTTAGCACATTCTAAAGGAACTCTGGCAGTATAATGAGTTAAGTGTTGGACTGCTAGTCATAAAGCAAGAAGTTCAAGCCCACCAGCAGTTCTGTGGGAGAAAAATGGACAGCCTGCTCTAAATAAGATTTGCACCCTGAGAAACTCAATGAGTTAATTCTACTCTGTGCAATAGAGAGTTACTGAGTTGTAATGAGCTTGATGGCAGTGAGTGAGCGCATTTTAATTTTCTAGAAAGGTGTCCATTTTCAACTTATCTGGAATCCTATCAGATGGTTAGGAGGCATGTTTTCTTATACACAAACATACACGTTGTTGTTGTTGTTGTTATGTGCTGTCGAACAGCTTGCAGCGCATAGTGATCCTATGTACAACTGTTCTGAACCTATTCTATCCTATCTATGCCAATCCTATTGTCTCTGACACACCTACCCCATTACCCCAGTCACTGAGTCAATCCATCAAGGGCCTTCCCTCTTGTGCTGTCCCTCCAACCTCTCAAACATGATGCCCCTCTCTAAGAACTGGTTCTTCCTTGCAACAGGCCCCAAGTATGTGAGACAGAGCTTCAGAATCCTTGCCTCCAAGAAGCAGCCTGGTTTCACCCTATTCAGGCCGAAACTGTTGTCCTGGAAGTCCATGGTATATTCACTAACAGCACCACAACTCAAACACATCAATTCTCCTTTTATCACTCCTAGTCATTGTCCAGCTTTCTAACACATAGCAAGTAATTGTGAACTTCATGGCCTGGATCACACACACTTTACTCTCCAGACTGATATTATTGCTCTGGAGAGATCCCTCACAGCTGACTTTCCCAATGCAACTTGTCTTGATTTTTAGGCTGCTAATACAAAAAATGTTGATTGTGGAGCCAAACAAAATGAAGCCGTTAACAATCTCAATCTCTTCACCATCTATCAACATACTGTCAAGTGGCCCAGTGATGAGAATCATTGTTTTCTTGATATTGAGCTTCAATCCATATTGAAGCAAGCGCTTCATTCAAGTCCTCCTCAGTCTCAGCAAGCAGGGTTGTGTCATCTGCATAATACAGGTCATTAATTCCTCCAATCCTAATGCTACATTCCTCCTCATGAAGTACAGCCTCCTGAATGATCTGTCCTCCACAGAAATTGAAAAGATATGGAGACGGGATGCACCCCTGACACACTTTTTTCTTTATTTTAAACCATGCAGTGTTTCCTTGCTCTGAATGCCTCCTAGTCCAAGTACAGGTTTCACATAAGCACAATTAAGCATTTTGGGATTCCCATTCTTCTCAGAGTTAGCAACAGTTTGTTGTGATCCACACAGTTAAATGCCATTGTATAGTCAATGAAACACGGACATTCCTCTGGTACTCTCTACTTTCAGCCAAGGTCCATCTGATTAGTTAAAATAGCCCTAGTACCACAACCTCTTCTAAGACCAGCTTGCACATCTGACAAGTTCTCTATTGATGTGCTGTTCTAGTCATTTCTGTGTAATTTTCAGCAGAATCTTGCCTGCATGTGATATTAATGTTATTGTCTGATAGTTTCTGCAATCTGTTGGGTCATATTTTTTTGGAGTGGGAACAAATATAGATCTCTTCCAGTCAGTTGGCCAGATGGTTGTACTCAGATTTCTTGGTACAACTTGCTGAGCATACCCAGGGCAGTGTCTGTTTGTTGAAATATGTCCACTGGTATGTCATCAATTCCTGGGGTCTTGTTTTTTGCCAATTCTTTCAAAGAAGCTTGAACTTCTTCCTTCATCACAGGTTCTTGCTCATACTTTGCTTCATAAAATTCTTCTTTGTCTGCCAATTCCTTTTGGAACCATGACTCTGTATATTTCTTCCATCTTCTTTTAATGTTTCCTGCATCATTAAATATTCTGTCCAAAGCATTCTTAAGTATGGCACCTCGAGGCTTGAATTTTTTCTTCAGTGCCTTCAGCTTAAGAAATACCATGCAAATTTGGCCCTTTTGATTTTCTGACTCCAGCTCTTTGCATATTTCATTGTAATACCTTACTCTATCGTCTTCTGCGGTCCTTTGAAATCTTCTGTTCAGCTCCTTGATTTCTTGATTTCTTCCATTTTCTTTGGCTTCTGGCACTCTAGTACAATATTCAGAGTTTTTGTCTGACATCCATCTTGGTCTTTTCTTCCTCCTCTGTCTTTGTAATAATATTTTGCATTCTTCATAGATGATAGTTTTTATACCCACCCACAGCTCATCTAATCTTTGTTCAATAGTATTAAAGACCTCAAACCTCTTCCTGAAATGGTTTTGAAATTCAAGTGGGACAGACTCAAGATTAAATTTTGGTTCTTGTGGATTACATTTGCTTTTGCTTCAGCTCGAAATTGCATGAGTATTTGATACTTTGTTCAACAATCAGCTCCTGGCCTTGTTTTCACAGCTGATACTCCAGTGCTTCTTTGCACAGATGTAATCGATCTCATTCACATGTATACCACCAGGTGAAATCCATGTGTATGTTGTTTTTGTTGTTATGTGCCGTTGAGTCATCTG